CGTTTGTTCTATCTAGGCTGGAATATTGCTGCACACTAACAGTGCCTTTCAAGGCAGGTGAAATTGCTGACCTAGAAAATGTACAGAGAACCTTCACGGCGCGCATAACGGAGATAAAACACCTCAATTACTGGGAGCGCTTGAGGTTCCTAAACCTGTATTCCCTGGAATGCAGGCGGGAGAGATACATGATTATATACACCTGGAAAATCCTAGAGGGACTAGTACCGAACTTACACACGAAAATCACTCACTACGAAAGCAAAAGACTTGGCAGACGATGCACCATCCCCCCAATGAAAAGCAGGGGTGTCACTAGCACATTAAGCGACAATACAATAAGTGTCAGGGGCCCGAGACTGTTCAACTGCCTCCCAGCATACATAAGGGGGATTACCAATAGACCCCTGGCAGCAAGCTGGCACTGGACAAGCACCTAAAGTCGGTACCTGACCAGCCGGGCTGTGGCTCGTACATTGGATAGCGTGCAGCCAGCAGTAACAGCCTGGTTGATCAGGCTCTGATCCACCATGAAGCCTGGTCACAGACCGGGCCGCAGGGGCGTTGATCCCCGGAACTCTCTCCAGGTAAACTCCAGGTACTCCAGGCAGGGCCGGATTAAGAAGTCTCCGGGCCCTAGGCTATTCAGATTGGCGGGGCCCCTTTGAGTTACGGGTCAGCGAAGCGACCTTCCAGCTTGGGGGTGGGGGGGGTCGGTGTGAGCCTGTTTAAGGCATTTGGATTAGATTAATTAAGGAAAGTCATCAAGACAACCAAACCCATTTCCAAGCATTATAATCTTGTTAATCATGCATTTTAAGAGAATTAAACTCAGACAGCATTAGTATTATTTATGATATAATCAAGGAAGCGCTAAACCCGAGGATTATACAGCGCCTGGGGGGGATATGTGGAAGCATCAGCATTATTCGGGAACTGAGCACAATCCTCAAGGAAGGTTCTTGATTTTGAGGTTATGATAGGGATTGGATATGCTCCAGTCCCCAAATTAGCCTGATTCAATACAGCGCTGTATAATCCTCGGTTAGGCTTCGCTTAATTAGGAAACTGGAGCACAGATCCAATTCCCTAAATCAAGAGCCCCTCACCAACATCAAGGAACCTTCCTTGAGGGGATAGTATTACTAGATTAGGCTATTAAAGTAGTGACATCATGTACCTATTATATTCAGCATAACCACTACAGCACTATTATTCCCTTTATAAATTACTGACCATTATTGTTATCATTGCATCATGCATAACACTATCAAATCATATAAACTACAGAAAATTGGAGAGGAATCTCCCATACTCGCCCTAGCGATTATGGCGGGAAAACACAGCTGTTCTGATGTAAAACAAAGGCGTGTTGAGTGTTGCCATCTATGGTTAGGTTTATTTATTTTTATTTTATTTTATTTCATTATTTTTGTTTTGATTAATTTTTAAAAATCAATTTTACTCTCCAAACACTTGATTATTATTATTATTATAATCAAAAAGAAGCGCTAAGCCACAAGGACTATACAGCGCTGCTCCAAACACTTGAACTTTTTAGGTAGGGACCCCTTTGCACTTGCACCATGTGCGCATCTTGGATGAGCCCCTAAACCCCTTGGACCGCGGGGCCCCCAAATGCGCGGGGCCCCCAAATGCGCGGGGCCCTAGGCAAATGCCTAGTTTGCCTATGCGGTAATCCGGCCCTGGCTCCAGGTACCACCACCAAGGACCTCAACGGAATGGGATGGACAATGATACCTGTCCCCCATCGTAACTCAGATGAATCACAGGGATGTTAGAAATACTTCTTCAGTCACAGAGCTGTCAGGAAGTGGAATAGTCTGGTAAGTGATGTAGTGGAGGCAGGAACTGTACATAGCTTTAAGAAGTGGTTGATCAGGCTCTGATCCACCAGGAGGCCTGGTCTCAGACCGGGCCACGGGGGCGTTGACCCCCAGAACTCTCTCCAGGTAAACTCCAGGTAATAAAGCTCATGGAGCAGAAAGAGTTACCTAGTAGCGACCATCGAAGAGGCGGGGCCAGGAGCTGTGACTCAACCCCTGCAACCACAACCAGGTGAGTACTAGAATGCCTGACAGGAAGACCCCGAAGGCTGAAAACAGGAAAGGGAGGAGGGGGGGATGGGGAGAGGGGGAGAAGGGGGGATGGGAAGAGGGATATGGAGGATGGGGCATGGAAGGGGGGGAGTGGGGGTAATAAAGTTCAGTCGAAGGAAGACTGAAAGGCCCAATTCCTCAGACCATTATCATGGGGGAGTGCTAAACCCGTAGGGATTACGCAGAGCCTGTTGGGGGGGGGGGAAATAGAAGGTATTCAGGCTCAGTTCAGGGAACTGGCACACAGATCCAATTCCCTATATCAAAAGCCCCTCACCAGCATCAAGGAACCTCCCAAAAGCCTTTTCACTGCACCAAGGAACTCCCCTTGAAGAGGACTTAAGACACAAGTATTGTTTATATTGTTACACAAAGCTAGAGGAGTCCTGGACTCAGGGTCCCTCCCTCTCTCTACGCTCTTGTATTCATATGCAAATTGATCATATACAAACAATAAATGTGTTTGGTAAAAAAAAAAAAGTTTTATAATTCATCCTTAAAAAAATATGTAAATAGAGGAACCCCATTGTTGGTGAAAATGATTCAACATTTCACAATATGTACTTCAAAAGTGCAGACATTAACATGAAACACTGCTAGCTGGGGCCCTAGTTAGTGTATTATATATACGAGAGAGAGAAAGAGGGGGGGGGGGGTTACCAGTTGTCAAAGGCACTTGTCGATAGACACGGCTCATTTTGTGCGTGCTCACTCATTTGGTGTATGTGTGCATATATTATAATCATAACTAACTCCAGGTATAAGCACTAAACCCACAAGTCATACAGTGCTGCTTGTTTGTATAAGTAGATATAGTTATGAGCAACAGATGCAGAGGAGTACAGAACGGAATTTAGGTGTAGGTTGTGTATGTTACAGTCCAGGTAGTACATGAGAAACTTGTAGTAACATCAGTTGAGTTAGAGCAGTAGCAGCCACACCTCAAGACACTGGTTAGTCAGACTTGAGTCCTGTAGGTGGGAAGTACAGTACCTGCACTCTGATGGATGTGTGAAGTACAGTACCTGCACTCTGATGGATGTGTGAAGTACAGTACCTGCACTCTGATGGATGTGTGAAGTACAGTACCTGCACTCTGATGGATGTGTGAAGTACAGTACCTGCACTCTGATGGATGTGTGAAGTACAGTACCTGCACTCTGATGGATGTGTGAAGTACAGTATCTGCACTCGGATGGAGGTGTGAAGTACAGTACCTGCACTCTGATGGAGGTGGGAAGTACAGTATCTGCACTCGGATGGAGGTGTGAAGTACAGTACCTGCACTCTGATGGAGGTGGGAAGTACAGTACCTGCACTCTGAAGGATGTCAAGCACAGTACCTGCACTCTGAAGGATGTCAAGTACAGTACCTGCACTCTGATGGATGGAGGTGTCAAGTACAGTACCTGCACTGATGGATGGAGGTGTTAAGTACAGTACCTGCACTCTGATGGATGGAGGTGTCAAGTACAGTACCTGCACTCTGATGGATGGAGATGGGAAGTACAGTACCTGCACTCTGAAAGATGTGTTAAGTACAGTACCTGCACTCTGATGGGTGAAGTACAGTACCTGCACTCTGATGGGTGAAGTACAGTACCTGCACTCTGATGGGTGAAGTACAGTACCTGCACTCTGAAGGATGTGTCCAATACAGTACCTACATTCTGGATAATTGGTGAGGATGTTGTAGTTTAGACACACATCTGAACTGTTGCTGGCAAGACACTGATGGAGTGATTGATGGTGAAAGCATTTCTTTTCAGGTCGCCTTGCCTTGGTGGGTGACGACCGTGTTAAAATTACTAAGAAGTGGACAAGATGTATGTAAAACACCTGGGTATCTTTATTGTTGATACCTGTCTGTTACACGTGTTTTATTCATCTTTTGCACGTGCTTTACTCATCTTTTGCACGTTTTACTCATTCGCACACGTTTTACTCACCTGCAAATGTTTTACTCATCTATTGCACACGTTTTACTCATCTTTTGCACATTTTACTCATCTTCTGTTTTATTCACATCTTACTCATCTTTTGCATGCATTTTACTCACTTTTTTATGTTTTACTCATCTTTATGCAATGGTACATTTGTTTATTGTGGAAATTAGAAGGTGTGGAGCTAATAAAAGTATTAGTCAGAGGGCTGAGGAGGGGTTGTTGAGGTGGTTTGATCATTTAGAGTGAATGGATCAAAGTAGAATGACATGAAGAGCATTTAAATCTGTAGGAGAAGGAAGGCGGGGTAGGGGTCGTCCTCAAAAAGGTTGGAAGGAAGGGGTAAGGGAGGTTTTGTGGGTGAGGGGCTTGGACTTCCAGCAGGCGTGCATGAGTGTGTTCGATAGGAGTGAATGGAGAAGAATGGTATTTGGGACCTGATGATCTGTTGGAGTGTGAGCAGGGTCATATTTAGTGAAGGGATTCAGGGAAACCGGTTATTTTTATATACCCGGACTCGAGTCCTGGAAATGGGAAGTACAATGCCTGCACTCTAAAGGAAGGGTTTTCGGATATTAGCAGTTTGGAGGGATATGTTGTGTATCTTTATACGTATATGCTTCTAAACTGTTGTGTTCTGAGCACCTCTGCAAAAACAGTGATTATGTGTGAGTGAGGTGAAAGTGTTGAATGATGATGAAAGTACTATTTTCTTTTTGGGGATTTTCTTTCTTTTTGGGTCACCCTGCCTCGGTGGGAGACGGCCGACTTCAAAAAAAAAAAAAAAAAAAAAAAAAAAAAAAAAAAAAAAAATTGTTTGTTCCCAAGATGAGTAAAAAAACTGCCTAAAACTTGCAGTCATTCCTGGAATTTTATGAAGATAAACCAGAGATCAGTTACATTATTAGTGCTCAATAAGGATAAAAAACCTACAATATTTGTGAAAGCTGTTCCAAATTATTTATTTTGCACATTAGAGAACGAGAACACAGTGAGACAGACACAACAGTAAAGGGTTTTGAGAATATAAGGTTTCTTGTGTAATGCTGCCAGTACTTCCTGATTCCCAAATTCGCGGACTTGCTTATTTGCAGTATGGTCAATGTTCTCGTGTAGCTCACCTATATAGTGTGATTTCTCACAAAATTAATTGAAAAAGTGCACGTAAAATTGAATAGCAAGTACTATGACGGCATTTTTACTAGCATTTAAATTTTAAATGCCCCTTTCTCGTGGCATTTCCAAAAATCACACTACATAGAGGAGCTTAACAAGAGAGCCGACTGTATATAACATTCACCGAGGCACCTCCTACAAATAGCATCAATTATTTGTAGGTTTTTTTCATTGAAGCATTTTTAAACTTTGATGCATAGCACCTAAAATGAAAACCAACCAGATGATTTATCTTAATATGTGCTTAATAGCTTGTTACTTATGAATGTCAGAATTGTGCAGATTAAAAGAATATGTTAAGAGATGTGGTTTTGCAAACATAAAATTAGCCTTAAACTGAGATACTTATGCAGACAATTTTATATTATTTACAGGACGTCTAGGAACACAATCTCGCGAATCTGGGCATTCGGTCATACTGTATAATGATGCACGTACTGTATAACGATACATATACTGTACTATGATACATGTTCTCTTGGTGTTACTTGTCTCAGTATATTAGTCAATCTCAGTCACTTCTTACTAATAATGTTATATAATAAGCAAGGTGTTATTGGAATTAATTGTTTTCAAGGTGTAAACAAAATATATTAGGTGGTAATATTGTTGCTTGCACGGCTTGCTGTTCTTCACTAGCCGTCACACAATCTCTTAAGTTCGTGGGAATAACAGTGATCCAAAGAGATGTATAGCTTTTCAAAACCAAGAAAGCAGAGAACTTAGCACTGTCTTGAGACACTAAGTTTGTCAAGACAGGCAGGAGTTGCAACACCTGTGTTGCACATGCTGTAATGTAGCAACACCTGTGTTGCACATGTTGAAACACTTGTGTTATAATGCTGCAACACCTGTGTTGCACATATTGTAATGTTGCACGAGGGGAACAGGTAGCACAGTTAGTATTCTTCTTCCTCTGGTGGCGGCGGTACATCTTCTACATCCTCAGGAGCAGCGAAGCCATCCTGTCCAACACAAAAATGACGAATGTTAGTCACATGAACATCAAATGCTTCAGAACTTCAAAACTGAATTTGTAAAAAATGTATTAAAAAAAAAACACAAGTTAGCCATGAAATCTCATTTTCCTCCAGATAAATACGACGGCTCAGTTTCAATAGGATTCAGTGTACTCTCTTCTGAGAGGTACAGTATTAAACACTTTTACATTCTTAAAATACTGCAGTCACAACAAGAACATTACAACTCACTCCACTGCAACACTGTTAGTAAATTAACTAGGTATGCAGATGTTAAAATTAAAAAATGAACCGAACTCCCAAGCTAATAACCTTGCTATAATTGATGAAATATAGCTTAATGCTATCCAACCTATCTAAGGTTATCCAAAATAATTATACTATCCAACCTATCCAGTCTATCATCAGTGTAATGAATGTAGCTAGGTGGAGAGCAGAGCAGGCTGGGAGGTACTAACATCCTCTCATAAGAGTAACATGCAACTCTGATAAATAATTTGCACTCTTGACAGGATGACTGGCACCGTCTCTCACAACCACACAAGGTGAGAGATAATACGAAAATGACATAGAATCAAAAGTCAAGTCTGACCCGAAGGTGTTGTATAGCCACATCAGGAGGAAAACAACAGTCAAGGACCAGGTAATCAGGCTGAGGAAGGAAGTTGGAGAGTTCACAAGAAACGACCAAGAGGTATGCGAGGAACTCAACATGAGATTTAAATAAGTATTTACAGTGGAGACAGGAAGGACTCCAGGAATTCAGAATAGGGAGGTACACCAACAAATGCTGGGTGAAATACACACAACTGAGGAGGTGAAGAAGTTACTATGTGAACTTGATACCTCAAAGGTGGTGGTCCCAGACATCTCTCCGATGGGTCTTAAAGAGGGAGCAGAGATGCTGTGTGTGCCACTAACAAAAATCTTAAGCACATCCACTGAAGCTGGGCAACTACCTGAGGCATGGAAGATGGCAAATGTAGTCCCAATTTTTAAGAAGGAGACAGACAAGAGGCATTAAACTACAGACCTGTGTCACTGATGTGTATAGTATGCAAAGTCATGGAGATCATCAGGAGAGTGGTGGAGCACCTAGAATGACACAAGCTTATAAACAACAACCAGCACAGTTTCAGGGAAGGAAAATCCTGTGTCACAAACCTACTGGAGTTTTATGACAAGGTAACAGGAGTAACAAACACACAACACACACACACACACACACACACACACACACACACACACACACACACACACACACACACACACACACACACAGAGAGAGAGAGAGAGAGAGAGAGAGAGGGGGGGAGATAGACTGCATTTTCTTGGACTGCAAGAAGGCCTTCAACACGGTTCCTCACAAGAGGTATGACGCAAAAGCTAGAGGATCAGGCACACATAACAGGAAAGGCACTGCAATGGATTTGAGAATATCTGACAGGGAGGCAACAACGAGTCATGGTACGTGACGAGGTGTCAGAGTGGTGCCTGCGATGAGCGAGGTTCCACAGGGGTCAGTCCTAGGACCTGTGCTGTTTTTGGTATATGTGAATGACATAACGGGATAGACTCAGAAGTGTCCCTGTTTGCAGATGATGTGAAGTTAACAAGAAGAATTAAATTGGTTGAGGATCAGGCAGGACTAGAGAGAGACCTGGACAGACTACAAGCCTGGTCCAGCAACTGGCTCCTTGAATTTAACCCTGCCAAATGCAAAATCATGAAGATTGGAGAAGGGCAAAGAAGACCACTGACATTCAAGACTCTGTACACCATATAGGTCAGGCCCATATTGGAGTATGCAGCACCAATTTGGAATCCACACCTGGTCAAGCACATAAGAAATTAGAGAAAGTGCAAAGGTTTGCAACAAGACTAGTCCCAGAGCTAAGGGGATTGACCTATGAAGAAAGGTTAAGGGAAATCGACCTGACAACACTGGAGGACAGGAGGGTCAGGGGAGACATGATAACGACGTATAAAATACTACTGCGAGGAACTGACAAGGTGGACAAAGACAGGATGTTCCGGAGATGGGACACAGAAACAAGGGGTCACAATTGGAAGTTGAAAACTCCTATGAGTCAAAGGGATGTTAGGAAGTACAGTGGACCCCCGCATAACGATCACCTCCGAATGCGACCAATTATGTAAGTGTATTTATGTAAGTGCGTTTGCACGTGTATGTTTGGGGGTCTGAAATGGACTAATCTACTTCACAATATTCCTTATGGGAACAAATTCGGTCAGTACTGGCACCTGAACATACTTCTGGAGTGAAAAAATATCGTTAACCGGGGGTCCACTGTATTTCTTCAGAGTTGTCAGGAAGTGGAACAGCCTAGAAAGTGACATAATGGAGGCAGGAACCATACACAGTTTTAAGATGAGGCTTGACCAAACTCATGGAGCAGGGAGAGAAACGACCTAGTAGCAAACAGTGAAAAGCGGGGCCAGGAGCTATGACCCGACCCCTGCAACCACAAATAGGTGAGTACAAGTCTTACAAGCTTACATTCATAGCCACACAAGGTGAGAGACAGGTCTTACAAACTTACATTCAGTATGCACTCCATACATGTCCTCCATAGTTATATATTGTGTACAACCCAATACAGTATTTACATTCCTGGATAATTAATATAATCCAACACCTGGGAAATGGGATGTAATCAAGTTTGATGTGAGGAAGTGGCAGAATTGCTGAGGTTCCTTGGATCAAGAGACCTTCATCCCCACAGAAGACTATCAAAGTCTATGAAAATATTCTTGAACGTTCAAGCAAGGCTGGAAAACATAGTGAACCCTATTTAACCTAGATAAGGACAAAAGTAAACATTAACGGCCTACATAAAGATCAAAGTACAGTGGAACCCCAGATTTCAGCCATAATCCGTTCGAGAAGGTTGGCCTCAATCTGAAAAGGCCAAAAACCGAAGTAATATTTCCCACAAGAATAAATGTAAAGACAATTAATCCGTTCCAAACACCCAAAAATATTTACAAAAAATACATTTTTTAAAGATTAACTATAGTTTTACATACAGAAAACAATGAGAAATAAATATAAAGCACAAATTTTAACAATAAATGAACATTACATACCTTTATTGAAGACTCTTGTTGGTGTATTGAAGAAGGTGAGGAGGAGACAGGGAGTTGGAGATATTGTTTGGAAGGGAAGTCCCCCTCCATAAGGACTTTAGGTATCAAGTCCCTATCCAGGGTTACTTCTTCATTGTCTCTTACTGGCACTAGGACCAGCTTGAGAATCACTGCACCCGTCGCACAAAAAACTGTCCAGAGGTCTGTTTCTGGCATCTCTAAGATTTGCCTGAAGTGGGACAAGGTTTTGTCACTGAATTCTATTGTGTTTCTTACTTTCTTTACCAAAAGGCTGGCACTAGGAACTTTCTTTGGGTCCATGGTGGCTTATTTCTCAGTCACACTCAATAAACAACCACAAAAAACAATGGATTATAACGAAATGTTTGGATGAATGCGCAGTGTTGCTCACTCGCCGAGAGACACGGCCAGACTGACTCATGCACGCGGTGGAGTGGCGGGCGGACGCGTCCAATACGGCCGATTTCCGAGTTGATGGCCGAAATCCAGGATAGAATTTCGGTCAAAAAAAAAAGCGGCCGAAATCCGATTTGGCCGATATCCACACTGGTCAATATCCGGGGGTCCACTGTAAACATTAACAACCTATATAAGGACAAGAGGAAACATCTCTGGTCTCTATCTAGGTTGTGAAACATTAACCACCACATAAATAACGTCAGTTTTCCTATAGTCAACAATGTTGTACCCTAAGAGATGAACCTCAACATTAATACGTATTCTATATTCATAACTATGTACTTAATCAGAGATTATGCCTCCTCTCTTGTTTATCATCTGTCTTTTATCTCCTTTCTTCCTCTCCTATCCTATTTCCTCCTCTCTCTCAGCTGAGTGTGGCTTCTGGTAAAAAGGTTAACTACCACTTATACAGTAAACCTCTATTTAAAATGTCTTGATTTGACAGACTTCAAAAACATAGGACAAAAAGTGCTAGATCAATTACTATAAAAAAAAAGTTTAATAATTAGAGATTTGTCCATTATTGTTATTATGAAGACTTTATAATGTCATATCTATCCACTACAATCATCACCCCCAACACTTTCTCAAACTAAAGAGTTTACAGTAAATTCGTTACCTTGCAATTACTTTTGAAAGAGAGATAGAGACACAATACACAGAGTAATAACAATTACTAATGATGCCAAGAGACAACAAGAAATAGGTTTCATGGTGCGATTGTTAACTACAGTCAAGACTCCTCAAATATTTGAACACTATTGTTACTGACAACAGCCACAGCATAAATATGTAACCTAGCAACCTCACTTTCTAACAATGGTACAAACCGACGGCAAAGATTTGAACACCCAAGTTGGAAGTCAAGACACAAGGAAAGTTGACTCGGATATTTGCAAGTGGGCTCGTGTTTATCAGTTCATATTAAAACTCGCAACATTTTTCCCTCGACCTATGCAGAGAATCCCTGAAGGCAATGTGTTCACACTTGTATGTTAGGGTCATGTAATACCTGAAGCTGGGTGTAGGAACCCTGGCACCTAATACATAAGCCAGGCACCCTGACACCTACCACACTTGTAAGCCAGGCACCCTGACAGCTACCAGGCACCATGACACTAAAACTGGCATACATAACTACCTAGTGTGTGTAGTTGCTACAAGTTAGATGCTACTGTTAATGACCAAGACACATGGGCAACACCTGGGTGTCTTGATATGAAAGACTCTTGCTACCCAGTGACTTTTTCCAATTCACTGCAGAGATTATATACAGAGGACAATGGAAGATGAGGTAATCAGTCCCACAGCCTTGAAAGGTGTTCAGTACCTCAGACTTAATCAATGCTAAAGTACCAAATGCCTTCTTCATGCCTGAGGGACTGATAACCTCATCTTCTACTGTCTTCTGCACAATCTCTGTACTGAATTGAAAAAGCCAATCAGTGAAACATTTTCAAAAAAAAAAAAAAAAAAAAAAAAAAAAAAAAAAAAAAAAAAAGATACACAGATGCTGCATGTATCAATAGTGTAATGTTGTAATAATTGCACTGCAGTGTCCCTAGTGTCAAGTTTCCAGTAGGTGAGTGGGTGTCAAGGGTCACTCAGCACTGCCTGTGAGAGGAAAAACACTGCTGTGTTTCTAACAGTGTACCAAACTTTCCAGCATTTTAGAATGATGTTAATGATTTAAAAGTAGAAATCAGCAAATTAGTTAAATTCCCAATTTTTTTTTTCAATAATGATAAAAACTGCAGTGAATGGCACCCATAGCCAAGTTTTAAGTAGGAGTAATGAAGGAAAACTGAGTGAATTATTAGTTATACCTTAGTGACCTGATGTTCCATTAATACTAAGAGTGCAGCCTTCACTCTAAATTAAATACAAGCACTTTCAAGAATTATAATTGTCCCTTACAAGGTTGAGTGTAATTATCCCAAGCCACCTTAGTATGTTGTCACTGCTGTTGTGTCCACTTAATGTCATGTCCACTTCTAGTATACCAAATCACCTTACAATATACAAAGAGTTAGTATGATGTCATAAATTAAACACTGTGTTGCTACTCACCCCAAGGCACCATACACTACACAGCGTCGGAGACACTGTGTTGTTACTCACCCCAAGACACCATACACTACACAGCATCGGAGACAGTGTGTGTGTGTTGTTACTCACCCCAAGGCACCACACACTACACAGCCTCAGAGACAAGACACACACAACAAGAAACATTTACCAGGACAACATTTTGCTCTGAGGAAGAGTTTTAACTCATTACTTAATAAAACTCTACTTAAGAGTGGCATTGTCCTAATAAAATTTCTTGTACCACACGTGTGTCTGTCTTCAATGGTGTTAAGAGTGTGTTTCAAGCAATACATATTGTGTTAGTAATATGTCATGGCTTAAACTACTGTTAAGTACACCTACTTGCGACTCATACAGAAGTGCAGTCACTCAAGAAAGAGGTTACCAGGACTACTTTCCAAAGAGGGAGGAATTATCTCATTAAGGAAAACTGTCAGGACAAACTTCTCATAGGCATATCTAATACCATTATCAAGGAAAAAAAGGGAATTCACAAAAACAAGGTTTCTTTCATGGCATTACAGATTATAGATACGTTAATAAAATTTAAATTGTTAAGAGGGATTTTTTAAAAGTAATGTACTTCCAAGAGAGCAATCATCATATGCAGTTAAGTGAAAGCATTCATTAAGCACTTATCAATGATACTACAGCAACATTAGCTGTTAGAAGTTATTTAAAGGCTAGAAGCAATGAAGAAGGCAGTGAGAGTGGAGTGTCTGCACAAGTTGACAGCTTCTTAAGAGACGTATCTGACCTGCAACACCACCCAATGTGTTTTGCAAATGCAAGTTTAACATGCCTGTATTTTGTCAGGGATGTTCTCAGTAAAGATGCCTGGATTCTCTGCACAACTGTCCTGAGGAGAAAATGTTGGAATATTCATAGCGGTTACATTACTATATATATAAGTAATATCCATTAACCCGTGCCAGTGTGAAGATGAGAACACCGTGGCACTTCTTGCTGAGGGGTGCCGGCCGGCACCTCCAACCTCCACCTGCCACTATACAAATATATCACTATAATGAAACATCAGTGTAGTGGATACAATGATGGATCCAGGAATCCAGACGGAGGCACAAACATAACTAGATTCTGTACATTTAAATCTCCATCTGAAATGATCTTCAGCTGTGTTCAATCTCCGCATGAGATCATCAACAGTGATCAATCTCTGCCTGAGATCATCTTCAACAGTGATCAATCTCTGCCTGAGATCATCTTCAACAGTGATCAATCCCCACCTGAGATCATCTTCAACAGTGATCAATGTCTGTCTGAGATCATCAACAGTGATCAATTTATCTGCTGCAGATCTCACACAGAAATTGAAAAATACAGTCTGTTTGTACACTGTATTTGTGTCACCATGTAGGATTAATCCATTCATATCTCACTATCAAACACTCACCTCATGATGAATCACTATAACACTCATCTCATGATGAATCATTATATGATGAATCATTATATGATGAATCATAACACACATAATGAATCATAACACTCATGATGAATCACTATAACACTCACTCATGATGAATCACTAACACTCACTCATGATGAATCACTATAATACTCAACAAACACTTAAAACAAAGCATGACTCTTTCTATGTACCATGGTAATAATATTAAGGTACTATATAACATCGTAACAACATGAAGGTGCCATATATCATGATGACATGAAGGTGTCATATACCATGATGACATGAAGGTGTCATATATCATGATGACATGAAGGTGTCATATACCATGATGACATGAAGGTGTCATATACCAAGATGACACAAAGGTGCCATATAGTACCATGATATGAAGAAGGTGCCATATACCATGATGACATGAAGGTGTCATATACCATGATGACACAAAGGTGCCATATAGTACCATGATGACAAAGGTGCCATATAGTACCATGATATGAAGAGGATGCCATATACCATGATGACATGAAGGTGCCATATAGTAAAATGATGACATGAAGAAGGTGCCATATACCATGATGACATGAAGAAGGTGCCATATACCATGATGACATGAAGGTGCCATATAGTACCATGATGACATGAAGGTGCCATATACCATGATGACATGAAGGTGCCATATACCATGATGACATGGTGTCATATACAATGGTAATGATCTGATGAAGGTGTCATTTAACATGGTAATGACCTGATGGTGTCATATACCATGATAATGACCTGATGAAGGTGACATATACCATGGTAATGACCTGAAGGTGTCATTTACCATGGTAATGACCTGAAGAAGGTGTCATTTAACATGGTAATGACCTGATGGTGTCATATACCATGATAATGACCTGATGAAGGTGACATATACCATGGTAATGACCTGAAAAAGGTGCCATATACCATGGTAATGACCTGAAGAAGGTGCCATATATCATGGTAATGACCTGAAGAAGGTGCCATATACCATGGTAATGACCTGAAGAAGGTGCCATATACCATGGTAATGACCTGAAGAAGGTGCCATATACCATGGTAATGACCTGAAGAAGGTGCCATATACCATGGTAATGACCTGAAGAAGGTGCCATATACCATGGTAATGACCTGAAGGTGCCATATACCATGATGACATTGCATCATATACCATGGTAATGACCTGATGAAGGTGCTATATACCATGGCAACGATCTGATGGTGCCATATACCATGGTAATGACCTGATGGAGGTGCCATATACCATGGAAATGACCTGAGTAAGCTGCCATATACCATGGTAATGACCATGAACCATCATGTGCTATAATGTACCATGTATCATTATGTACTACCATATACCACCATGTACCACCATGAACATCATGTACCACCATGAACCATCAAGTACTACCATGAGCCATCATGTACTACAATGTACCATCAAGTACTACCATGAACCATCATGTACCATCATGAACCATCAAGTACTACCATGAACCATTATGTACTACCATGAACCATCAAGTACTACCATGAACCATCATGTATTACCATGAACCATCATGTACTACCATGAATACTGCAATATACCATCAGGTACTACCATGAACCATCAAGTACTACTATGAACCATGTACTACAATGTACCATCATGTACTACCATGAACCATCACGTGCTACCATGAACAATCACGTACTACCAAGAACCATCATGTAATGCCATGAACCATCATGTAATACAATGTACCATCAAGTGCTACCATGAACCCTCAGGTACTACCATGAACCACGTACTACAATATACCATCATGTACTACAATGTACAGTGGTACCTCGATATTTGAACTTAATACAGTGGACCCCCCGGTTATCAGCCATAATCCATTTCAGAAGCTCGGCCTAAAACCGAAATTGCTGAAAACTGAAATAATATTTCCCATAAGAATTAATGTAAATACAATTAATCCGCTCCAGACATCCAAAAATATTCACACACAAAAAAAAACCTATAAAGATTAATTACAGTTTTACATACACAAAGCAATGAGAACTAAATAAAATAAATACATGAACAATTAAATCAGTATTACATACCTATATTGAAGACTTTTCTTGGCTTATGGAAGATAGGGAGGAGGAGAGAGGCTTGAGAGTCACTGTACCCCTGCAACTCAATCCACTTTACACACATGTCCTTAATCAATGGAGGAGGAAGGCACATTCTCCCCTCTCTTCCTCCTCCTCTAAGGCAATTTCCTCAGCTGTGGTCTGTTGCTGTTCCAGATGAAGGTCTTGCAGCTCTACTCTCTACCACCATCACTACCACCCTCAACAACCATCACAACCATTACCACCCTCTACTACCATCACTACCACCCTCTACAACCGTCATAACTACTACCACCCTCTACCACCATCACAACCACTACCACCATCACTACCACCACCATCACTCTTGTACTTTGCTACAATTTCTTTCTTAAATGCCATCATGTTTCTCACTTTCTTTACTAAAGGAACTTTATTAGGAACTTTCTTTGGGGCCATGGTTACTTATTTCGGAGTTGCACTTCAAAAAAAACAAAAAACAATGAATGTATAGTGAAATGTTTGGATGAATGAGTAGAAGCTTCTTCACATGCCCAGAGATACAGCCAAACTGACATGCAAGTAGCTAGGCAGGCAGATAGATGCGTCCCATGTGGCTGATAAGCGAAATAATGGCTGATAACCGGTAGCCGAAAAACTGGCCCATAACCGAGTTGTCCGATAACCGAGGGTCCACTGTACATTCCAGGAGGCCATTCAAATAGTGAATTGTAGAATACTGAATAATTTTTTCCCATAAGAAATAATGTAAATTGGATTTATCCATTCCAGACACCCAAAAATTACCAAATATAAAATATTTTAAGTGAAAATTCTGCTTATTTAAACACGCATAATAACTGCATGCATAAAATAAAACATGAAAACTATAAAAACAATAAATACATAAAATAAATGAAAATTTAACTGCACTTTACCTTTACTGAGGAATAGTGATGGCCTAAGAGGAAGGTGGAGAGATGTTATTGTTTGGAAAGGGTGTCATGTTCCAATAAAAAAATCAGGAAACTGCCCTTCTGGTGATTTTTCTCTTTCCTTTCTCTGTATAGTAGCACCTGAAGATTATGGAGATTCACTAGCATTTGATTTTTTTCTTTGCTAAAGAAGCTGTCCAATGTTGTCTGCTTTTGACGACTTTTCAAAATTTTTCTAAACTGGTCAACAATATTGTCCTTGAACAAGTTGATGCTTCTATTGACAACAGTAATGTTAGGATGCCATTTTCTCATCAGGCTCTATATCTGAGCCTAGTGGTAACACAGTTCCTTAATTTCTGCACTGGAAGTGTTGCCCTTACTGCTTCCTTCCTCTGAAGAAGAAACTTCCTCAACCACTTCCTGATGCTCCATGAGCAGGTCTTGAAGTTCTGTGGTGAGCTCATTCTTGTGATCCGCCACCAATTTCTCTACATTCTGATCATCCATTTCCAAACCCATGGATTGGCCCAGAGAAACAATATACATCACTACAGGCTCTGCCTCAAAGCCTTCAAAAATCTCTGACTGACACACAGTCTGGCCACAATTTCTTCCAGGCACAGTTCATTGTTCTGGAAGAAACATATCCCCCCCAGCTTTGTCTATTATCCTTAAACACTGGAGGATATTAAAATGGTTTTTCCAAAATTCCCTAAAGGTAAGCTCTCTTTTGGAGTTCACTTCAAAGCACCTTTTAAACAGTGCTTTTGTGTAAAGTTTCTTAAAACTGGAAATTACCTGCTGGTCCATGGGTTGGATAAGAGGAGTGGTGTTAGGGGGGGGGGGGGCAAGAACTTCACTTTAACCCTTTGGGGGTCAACAGGTCCTCTCAGAGACTTGTTCTCAGGGTCAGCCAAATTTCAAAAAAAAAAAAAAAAAAAAAAAAAAAAAAAAAATCTTATGAAAAGATAGAGAATCTTTTCCCGATCATAATGACACCAAAAGTATGAAATTTGATGGAAAACTTACAGAATTATACTCTCACGAAGTTAGCGGTCTCGATGATGTTTACGCATCAGCGATTTTGCCCACTTTGAGCCCTATTTCCGGCCAATTCCAGTGTACTAGTGGACAAAAATCATAACTATTTCACTAGAACTCCATATTTTCTATCGAATGAGTACAAGAAACCACCCATTTACCGATTTCAACTATCCAATAAAGTGATCAGAATTTAGAGATTTTGCCAATTTCACACAAATTTCAAAAGATGCCAATTTCCGAATAGGGTCCAGAATAAACAAAAACGACATTCCTGGCACTAAAATAACAAGTTCTCTGTTTGTTAGTCACATCCCCAGGCCCCTCTTATATTTCTTTGGCTTTCCACTTTGAATTTTTATTCTTACAAAAAAAAAATAAGATTTACTGTTATGCAGACTACTGCATCAGTGTAGAAATGGTATAAATAATATCAGTGCAATTCTGAAAGAATATTAGACTCACCAGTTGATGTGTATTGGATGCTTGGCATGATTTGTTTACTTTTGAACTGTGGTAAAAATTGAACATTTCTGCTACTTTGAGCTCAATTTCAAGGTACTTTTCATTGTAAAACCAGTCAAAATCATCTCAATTTCTGTAATATGTCTTCCATTCTATAAAATGAGACCAAGAAAACTAGAATACAACAATAAATACCATACGAAAATACAGTGCAAAGTCGGTGTTTTAATCCAAAAACACGGTCAAAGTTTTTTTTTCTCATTACGCACTGTGTGCTGCAGGATTTTTTTTTATACTGCGCACACTGACCACATAGACCCATTCTTACATATGTAGGCCTACCAGCTTTCTCTCACTAGATTTGAGGGCGCTAGAATTTAGGTGTACTAGTACGTCAAAAACCCTGGGTCGTAAGACGTACTAGTACGTCCGAAACCCCCAAAGGGTTAATGAAACTGCATTCATGCACCAAATTTTTCTCCAAGCCTGGAGTGTGAGCAGGAGCATTGTCCATTACCAGAAGTGCCCCTAATGGTAAGTTTTTTCTGAAAGGTACTGCTTCACACTTGGGGCTAACACTTCATGTATCCACTCAGTGAAGAACTGCCTTGTTACCCAAGTTTTACTATTAGCCCGCCACATTACACCGAGTTTATTTTTAATCACATTGTTTTTCTTAAACACCCTTCTGTATGGTAGTAGCATGGAACCTAACCTGCTGTATAAGCAGGGCCCTCTTGTATAGCAGTAGCAGGAACCTAACCTAACCTGTATAAGTGGGGCCCTCCTGTATAGCAGTAGCACAGAACCTAACCTGCTGTATAAGCAGGGCCCTCCTGTACAGCGGCAACATGGAACCTAACCTTCTGTATAAGCAGGGCCCTCCTGTACAGAGGAGCTTTATAAGAACCAACTGTATCCAAAGACCAGATGTGATAACATCCAGATCAGATGATTTGATAACAACAGACCAGATGTTATAACACACATGGGGGTGACAACTTCATGAAATATAAAATACAATACAGGAGTAGGTAGGGTTGTAACCTACTACAAGACCACTCAAGGAGTGGGTGAGTGTGGAAGCCACTACAAGACCACTCAATACACACACTGTTAACTTCATATAACACTATCACCACACAATATTAACCATAAACACTACCACCATTCAATATTAACTGCAAACATCACTACCACCACAAAATATTAACCACAAACATCACTACCACCACACAATATTAACCACAAACAACACTAACACTACACAATATTAACCACAAACAACACTAACACTACACAATATTAACCACAAACAACACTACCACCACACAATATTAACCACAAACAACACTAACACTACACAATATTAACCACAAACAACACTACCACCACACAATATTAACCACAAACAACACTAACACTACACAATATTAACCACAAACAACACTACACCACACAATATTAACCACAAACAACACTAACACTACACAATATTAACCACAACACAACACTAACCACCACACAATATTAACCACAAACAACACTAACACTACACACAATATTAACCACAAACAACACTACCACCACACAATATTAACCACAAACAACACTACCCACACAATATTAACCAAAACAACACTAACCACACAATATTAACCACAAACAACACTAACCACTACACAATATTAACCACAAACAACACTAACACTACACAATATTAACCACAAACAACACTACCACCACACAATATTAACCACAAACAACACTACACCACCACACAATATTAACCACAAACAACACTACCACCACACAATATTAACCACAAACAACACTACCACCACACAATATTAACCACAAACAACACTACACCACACAATATTAACCACAAACAACACTACCACCACACAATATTAACCACAAACAACACTAACACCACACAATATTAACCACAAACAACACTAACACCACACAATATTAACCACAAACAACACTACCACCACACAATATTAACCCAACAACACTAACACTAACACACACAATATTAACCACAAACAACACTACCACACACAATATTAACCACAAACACACTACCACCACACAATATTAACCACAATACAACACTAACACCACAATACTTAACACAACAACATACAACATATTAACCAAAACATCACTACACCTAATATTACCAAAACCTAACACACAATATTATCAGCAAACATTCACTCACACATATGTACAGAAAACATCCAATCTTATTATATTATAACAAACAACCTAACAGCACAATTATGGCACAAACACATCTAACACAGAATTACTTAACAGAAAATCTCTAACCATCAAATGTAACAAGAGAAACTAAGATAGCCAAGTTTATTATAACTTTAGCCTTAATTGCATAATAATTTACTCAACTAGCACAAACAAACTTTTTTAACAATGAGAAAATTATACAGCACAAAATTTACTTAGTAAAATAAAAATGTCTGGAAGCAAGTAAATCCTGGTAACCACAGCAGCTTAGAGCCTAACTCTTTACTAACTGCAGCAGCTTAGAGCCTAACTCTTTACTAACTGCAGCAGCTTAGAGCCTAACTCTTTACTAACTGCAGCAGCTTAGAGCCTAACTCTTTACTAACTGCAGCAGCTTAGAGCCTAACTCTTTACTAACTGCAGCAGCTTAGAGCCTAACTCTTTACTAACTGCAGCAGCTAGAGCCTAACTCTTTACTAACTGCAGCAGCTTAGAGCCTAACTCTTTACTAACTGCAGCAGCTTAGAGCCTAACTCTTTACTAACTGCAGCAGCTTAGAGCCTAACTCTTTACTAACTGCAGCAGCTTAGACCTAACTCTTTACTAACTGCAGCAGCTTAGAGCCTAACTTTTACTAACTTGCAGCAGCTTAGAGCCTAATCTTCACTAACTGCAGCAGCTTAGAACCTAACTCTTCACTAACTGCAGCAGCTAGAACCTAACTCTTCACTAACTGTAGCAGCTAGAGCCTAACTCTTTACTAACTGCAGCAGCTTAGAGCCTAACTCTTCACTAACTGCAGCAGCTTAGAGCCTAACTCTTCACTAACTGCAGCAGCTAGAACCTAACTCTTCACTAACTGCAGCAGCTTAGAACCTAACTCTTCACTAACTGTAGCAGCTAGAGCCTAACTCTTCACTAACTGTAGCAGCTAGAGCCTAACTCTTCACTAACTGTAGCAGCTAGAGCCTAACTCTTCACTAACTGTAGCAGCTAGAGCCTAACTCTTCACTAACTGTAGCAGCTAGAGCCTAACTCTTCATTAATTTATGTACAGCAAATAAGCAACAATAAGAATTTAAAATGTTTCTCAATGCAAAAAAAGCTAAGTATCATTACAAAAACAAAACTCTAGATATAAATAATTTTATGTAGAATAATTGGTACAGTACAGACTAAAATATTGTACATACTGCATTAATAAAGTTTATTGTGCTTCTAAAAACTGTAAATAAAGTCTATGGAAGAAAGCAGATCAAATGCAGAATTTCAAAAAGATTTAAATATTCTAAATCAATTACTGAATACAGTAGAGTAAGCTCCTCTATACAGTGATTTTTGTTTTAAGCAATGGAAAAAGTTCAAAGTTGAACATCACATCATGAAGACCTTTCCACCTGCTGTTCAATTTTTGAATGTCCTTTTTTAGATCACATTTGCATATGTGATCTTTTTAAACACCTGAAGGACATCTAAAGTTGAATAACACAGGAAAACTCTTCCAGTGTGCGCTCTTTAATTATCTTGATACCAACTCAGTTTTGAGCCTATAACAATTCTATCAAAATCTAAGCCTACACCAATATTATGAATATCAATATTTTGGCATGACCCTATTAAATGCCAAGTGCTTTATAAGATTATTATTATTATTCACAGAGTGCTCTCAACCCATATGGGTCTCAAAGCTTTATAAGACAGCCTACTGTACAAAAAAATCACATTGTATAAATTAGCTTTACAAAATGTACTGTATATAGAGCTTAATAAGAGAGTTGTGTAGAAAACAGGAAAGACTGGACATATCACTGTCAGTGAACCTTGAGCTTACTTATAAAAGTGGTGTACAAAGAATGGCATACAATGTATGAACAAAGTGGCATACAATGTATGCACAAAGTGGCATACAATGTATGCACAAAGTGGCATACAATGTATGCACAAAGTGGCATACAATGTATGCACAAAGTGGCATACAATGTATGCACAAAGTGGCATACAATGTATGCACAAAGTGGCATACAATGTATGCACAAAGTGGAATACAATGTATGCACAAAGTGCATACAATGTATGCACAAAGTGGCATACAATGTATGCACAAAGTGGAATACAATGTATGCACAAAGTGGCATACAATGTATGCACAAAGTGGCATACAATGTATGCACAAAGTGACCCACAATGTATGCACAAAGTGGCATACAATGTATGCACAAAGTGGCATACAATGTATGCACAGAGTGGTGTACAATATATGCACAAAGCATATCATACAATGCTGTACAAAGAGTGGCAAACAAGGCTGTACAAGGATGTATAAGGTTGTACATAGTGGCATACAAGCTGTACATAGTGGCATACAAGAGATACAAAGAGTACCGTCACTTACCTCTGTCGCATATAATATATCGAGAATCTTAGAAATAAGCTCATTATTCTCGCCCTCATCCTGACACAACACCTCAATTTCTCGCAGCTTGCCAAAGTAAAAGTCACGTTCCTTCTCTAGCCCTGACACTGTCAGTCTTAGATCCATCAGCTGAAACAACATGCAAAAACAATTAACACTATCAACCTGAGTCATGGTGGTGGGAGGTACAGTGCCCACACTCTGAAGGATGGGTGGAGGTGGGAGGTACAGTGCCCACACTCTGAAGGATGGGTGGAGGTGGGAGGTACAGTGCCCACACTCTGAAGGATGGGTGGAGGTGGGAGGTACAGTGTCTACACTCTGAAGGATGGGTGGAAGTGGGAGGTACAGTGTCCACACTCTGAAGGATGGGTGGAGGTGGGAGGTACAGTGTCTACACTCTGAAGGATGGGTGGAGGTGGGAGGTACAGTACCTGCACTCTGAAGGATGGGCAAGGATGTCACAGTTCAGTGTCATCTGAACAGTGATGTTATACCGCAGCTTAATACATATTATACCGCAGCTTAATACACGTTATACTGCAGCCTAATACATGTTATACTGCAGCTTAACACATGTTATACTGCAGCTTAATACATGTTATACTGCAGCTTAACACATGTTATACTGCAGCTTAACACATGTTATACTGCAGCTTAACACATGTTATACTGCAGCTTAATACATGTTATACTGCAGCTTAACACATGTTATACTGCAACTTAACACATGTTATACTGCAGCCTAATACATGTTGTACTGCAATTTAACAGCTGTAAATCTATCACTTGGAAACCTGTTGTATATTACCTGACAATTAAGTAGCAGCGCATTCAGTAATTTACAAAAGTGGAATATACACCATACATTAACCATCCACTCTGAAGGCTACCATGTAAAACTACAAGTATATTACAGTACAGTAATATACCTGAACTGAATACACAACCATACATTAACCATCCACTCTAAAGACTACCACATAATATTACAGTAACAATACAGTAACTGAGTGGAACCTACCTGACTAGAGAGTTCTTCCACTTGTGCATTGTTGGTAGAGGGTGAGCGGTTAGTGACAGCTGGTCTGGAGGCTATACGAGAGGGAGTCTGTCGGGCACCACCTGCGAACACAGTATCCACCATCATCATCTATACCAGACATGGCCATGGTGAATTTGATATAACTTTGCATATCAAATACATTCTGTAGCATGTTGCATCAACGAGCAGCACTGGCTAAGCATACGAGACACCAGTGACTCATGAGTCATCGCTTGATCACACTTATTATACAAAATTTATGACTTTCAAATAAATTTCACCTTCAAGGACAGTAAAAATTTATAATTGTAAAATTGTGTTGTTGGAAGTGTAGAGTGAAAGGTTGTGCTACAAGTGTAGAGTGAAAGGTTGTGCTACAAGTGTAGAGTGAAAGGTTGTGCTACAAGTGTAGAGTGAAAGGTTGTGCTACAAGTGTCGATTGGAAGGTTGTGCTACAAGTGCACAGTGAAAGGTTGTGCTACAAGTGTCGATTGGAAGGTTGTGCTACAAGTGCACAGTGAAAGGTTGTGCTACAAGTGTCGATTGAAAGGTTGTGCTACAAGTGTAGATTGAAAGGTTGTGCTACAAGTGTAGATTGAAAGGTTGTGCTACAAGTGTAGATTGAAAGGTTGTGCTACAAGTGTAGATTGAAAGGTTGTGCTACAAGTGTAGAGTGAAAGGTTGTGCTACAAGTGTAGAGTGAAAGGTTGTGCTACAAGTGTAGAGTGAAAGGTTGTGCTACAAGTGTAGATTGAAAGGTTGTGCTACAAGTGTAGATTGAAAGGTTGTGCTACAAGTGTAGATTGAAAGGTTGTGCTACAAGTGTAGATTGAAAGGTTGTGCTACAAGTGTAGAGTGAAAGGTTGTGCTACAAGTGTAGATTGAAAGGTTGTGCTACAAGTGTAGAGTGAAAGGTTGTGCTACAAGTGTAGAGTGAAAGGTTGTGCTACAAGTGTAGAGTGAAAGGTTGTGCTACAAGTGTAGAGTGAAAGGTTGTGCTACAAGTGTAGATTGAAAGGTTGTGCTACAAGTGTAGAGTGAAAGGTTGTGCTACAAGTGTAGAGTGAAAGGTTGTGCTACAAGTGCACAGTGAAAGGTTGTGCTACAAGTGTCGATTGGAAGGTTGTGCTACAAGTGCACAGTGAAAGGTTGTGCTACAAGTGTAGAGTGAAAAGTTGTGCTACAAGTGTAGATTGAAAGGTTGTGCTACAAGTGCACAGTGAAAGGTTGTGCTACAAGTGTAGAGTGAAAGGTTGTGCTACAAGTGTCGATTGGAAGGTTGTGCTACAAGTGTAGAGTGAAAGGTTGTGCTACAAGTGTAGAGTGAAAGGTTGTGCTACAAGTGTAGAGTGAAAGATTGTGCTACAAGTGTAGAGTGAAAGGTTGTGCTACAAGTGTAGAGTGAAAGGTTGTGCTACAAGTGCACAGTGAAAGGTTGTGCTACAAGTGTAGAGTGAAAGGTTGTGCTACAAGTGTAGAGTGAAAGGTTGTGCTACAAGTGTAGAGTGAAAGGTTGTGCTACAAGTGCACAGTGAAAGGTTGTGCTACAAGTGTAGAGTGAAAGGTTGTGCTACAAGTGTCGATTGAAGGTTGTGCTACAAGTGTAGAGTGAAAGGTTGTGCTACAAGTGCACAGTGAAAGGTTGTGCTACAAGTGTAGAGTGAAAGGTTGTGCTACAAGTGTCGATTGGAAGGTTGTGCTACAAGTGTAGAGTGAAAGGTTGTGCTACAAGTGTAGAGTGAAAGGTTGTGCTACAAGTGTAGAGTGAAAGGTTGTGCTACAAGTGTAGAGTGAAAGGTTGTGCTACAAGTGTAGAGTGAAAGGTTGTGCTACAAGTGTAGAGTGAAAGGTTGTGCTACAAGTGTAGAGTGAAAGGTTGTGCTACAAGTGTAGATTGAAAGGTTGTGCTACAAGTGTAGAGTGAAAGGTTGTGCTACAAGTGTAGAGTGAAAGGTTGTGCTACAAGTGCACAGTGAAAGGTTGTGCTACAAGTGTAGAGTGAAAGGTTGTGCTACAAGTGCACAGTGAAAGGTTGTGCTACAAGTGTAGAGTGAAAGGTTGTGCTACAAGTGTAGAGTGAAAGGTTGTGCTACAAGTGTAGAGTGAAAGGTTGTGCTACAAGTGTAGAGTGAAAGGTTGTGCTACAAGTGCACAGTGAAAGGTTGTGCTACAAGTGTAGAGTGAAAGGTTGTGCTACAAGTGTAGAGTGAAAGGTTGTGCTACAAGTGTAGAGTGAAAGGTTGTGCTACAAGTGTAGAGTGAAAGGTTGTGCTACAAGTGCACAGTGAAAGGTTGTGCTACAAGTGTAGAGTGAAAGGTTGTGCTACAAGTGCACAGTGAAAGGTTGTGCTACAAGTGTAGAGTGAAAGGTTGTGCTACAAGTGTAGAGTGAAAGGTTGTGCTACAAGTGTAGAGTGAAAGGTTGTGCTACAAGTGTAGAGTGAAAGGTTGTGCTACAAGTGCACAGTGAAAGGTTGTGCTACAAGTGTAGAGTGAAAGGTTGTGCTACAAGTGTAGAGTGAAAGGTTGTGCTACAAGTGTCGATTGGAAGGTTGTGCTACAAGTGTAGAGTGAAAGGTTGTGCTACAAGTGTAGAGTGAAAGGTTGTGCTACAAGTGTAGAGTGAAAGGTTGTGCTACAAGTGTAGAGTGAAAGGTTGTGCTACAAGTGTAGAGTGAAAGGTTGTGCTACAAGTGCACAGTGAAAGGTTGTGCTACAAGTGTAGAGTGAAAGGTTGTGCTACAAGTGTAGAGTGAAAGGTTGTGCTACAAGTGTCGATTGGAAGGTTGTGCTACAAGTGTAGAGTGAAAGGTTGTGCTACAAGTGTAGAGTGAAAGGTTGTGCTACAAGTGTAGAGTGAAAGGTTGTGCTACAAGTGTCGATTGGAAGGTTGTGCTACAAGTGTAGAGTGAAAGGTTGTGCTACAAGTGCACAGTGAAAGGTTGTGCTACAAGTGTAGAGTGAAAGGTTGTGCTACAAGTGTCGATTGGAAGGTTGTGCTACAAGTGTAGAGTGAAAGGTTGTGCTACAAGTGTAGAGTGAAAGGTTGTGCTACAAGTGTAGAGTGAAAGGTTGTGCTACAAGTGTAGAGTGAAAGGTTGTGCTACAAGTGTAGAGTGAAAGGTTGTGCTACAAGTGCACAGTGAAAGGTTGTGCTACAAGTGTAGAGTGAAAGGTTGTGCTACAAGTGTAGAGTGAAAGGTTGTGCTACAAGTGTAGAGTGAAAGGTTGTGCTACAAGTGTAGAGTGAAAGGTTGTGCTACAAGTGTAGAGTGAAAGGTTGTGCTACAAGTGTAGAGTGAAAGGTTGTGCTACAAGTGTCGATTGGAAGGTTGTGCTACAAGTGTAGAGTGAAAGGTTGTGCTACAAGTGTAGAGTGAAAGGTTGTGCTACAAGTGTAGAGTGAAAGGTTGTGCTACAAGTGCACAGTGAAAGGTTGTGCTACAAGTGTAGAGTGAAAGGTTGTGCTACAAGTGTAGAGTGAAAGGTTGTGCTACAAGTGTAGAGTGAAAGGTTTGTGCTACAAGTGTAGAGTGAAAGGTTGTGCTACAAGTGCACAGTGAAAGGTTGTGCTACAAGTGTAGAGTGAAAGGTTGTGCTACAAGTGTAGAGTGAAAGGTTGTGCTACAAGTGTAGATGAAAGGTTGTGCTACAAGTGTAGAGTGAAAGGTTGTGCTACAAGTGTAGATTGAAAGGTTGTGCTACAAGTGTAGATTGAAAGGTTGTGCTACAAGTGTAGAGTGAAAGGTTGTGCTACAAGTGTAGAGTGAAAGGTTGTGCTACAAGTGTAGAGTGAAAGGTTGTGCTACAAGTGTAGAGTGAAAGGTTGTGCTACAAGTGTAGAGTGAAAGGTTGTGCTACAAGTGTAGAGTGAAAGGTTGTGCTACAAGTGTAGAGTGAAAGGTTGTGCTACAAGTGTAGAGTGAAAGGTTGTGCTACAAGTGCACAGTGAAAGGTTGTGCTACAAGTGTAGAGTGAAAGGTTGTGCTACAAGTGCACAGTGAAAGGTTGTGCTACAAGTGCACAGTGAAAGGTTGTGCTACAAGTGCACAGTGAAAGGTTGTGCTACAAGTGTAGAGTGAAAGGTTGTGCTACAAGTGTAGAGTGAAAGGTTGTGCTACAAGTGCACAGTGAAAGGTTGTGCTACAAGTGTAGAGTGAAAGGTTGTGCTACAAGTGCACAGTGAAAGGTTGTGCTACAAGTGCACAGTGAAAGGTTGTGCTACAAGTGCACAGTGAAAGGTTGTGCTACAAGTGTAGAGTGAAAGGTTGTGCTACAAGTGTAGAGAAAGTGTTCACTAACCTCAACATAGTTTAAGTAGAGTTAACAAAAGTGTTTACTTACCTCATCAAGAGTTAAGACTAACCTCCAGATGAGGGTCGTCCCATCGGCCTGAAAGCATTAGCAGGACTCTGGGCTATTGGTTTGCGCGGTGGACCACTCCTGCCAAACATTGCTTCCCCTTGTCTTGCTCCGAGGGCATCGTATTCTTGACCCCCATAGTTGGCATCAAAGAATTTCTTAAACCACTGTTAAACCAAGAAATCACCATCAATCACACACAAAATACATAAAGGGAGTGATTTAAATACTTGACACTACAGTCATCACTTCTACACCCATATTAGCAACAAGATGAGTCAGCTATTAAAATTATTGCTTCACACTTTAATTAAAATGAAGGGTAAACAAAAGGAAAACACATTCACCATCACTCATTTCTTAGCTGTTTTTCCAGGACTGCAAAGACATAAGACAATTCAAAAACTCCAGCAAACCATAACATTCCCATTCAGCCCTTAAGAGTGAAGGCACTCTATTATTCTGTTTACCCATTCAATGTCTCCCATGCAGACCTATGTCTTAATCATAGCACACACTGATATGCTGCAAGGGATAAATTTTGACCTAGACATAAGAAAATTAATCTGTGTGGTAGTGTGGGCAATTTAAAAAATAAAAAATCTCCACCCCCCCCCCCTACACATAGTGCACAATGGGAACTGCTAACCTCAGATCTTACATTTGGTTCAAAATAGTGACTGAGGCATGTTTTAGGGTGGTTTTCATGGGTTTTATTGCCTGGTCCTTGGTATCATTGACAAAACCATACTAATGAAGTAAGCATACACAAATAACCCACACATAGGAGAGAGGAGCTTACAACCATTTACAAAGTCACACTGACTTTGTAAATGGTCCAAGTCGGACCAAAACGTCGTCACAAGCTCCTCTCTCCTATGTGCGGGTTATTTGTGTATTGTTCCAGTCACGATACTGTGCCTTTTTGTTATTTATGAAACCTGCATGATTGTGATCACTTTTAGACTAGAAGTAACAAATATTTGATTTTTAGCAATTTTACAATTTTCCTAAGGAAGGGTAAGGGTACAATGACCCCTCAAATCCCCAGTCTGTGAAATAGCCAGGTATTGGGCCCCTACTTAAACAAGATGGGTCCTACACAGATGACAGCAAGGAAATGAGTGAGCTACTCAAGTCCCAATATGACTCAGTTTTTAGCAAGCCGCTAACCAGACTGAACGTCGAAGATCAAAATGAATTTTTTATGAGAGCCACAGAATTTGGTTAACACAAGCCTATCCGATGTTTCCTGACGCCAAATGACTTCGAACAGGCGATAAATGACATGCCCATGCACTCTGCCCCAGGGCCAGACTCATGGAACTCCGTGTTCATCAAGAACTGCAAGAAGCCCCTATCACGAGCTTTTACCATCCTATGGAGAGGGAGCATGGACACGGGGGTCATCCCACAGTTACTAAAAACAACAGACATAGCCCCACTCCACAAAGGGGGCAGTAAAGCAACAGCAAAGAACTACAGACCGATAGCACTAACATCCCATATCATAAAAATCTTTGAAAGGGTCCTAAGAAGCAAGATCACCACCCATCTAGAAACCCATCAATTACACAACCCAGGGCAACATGGGTTTAGAACAGGTCGCTCCTGTCTGTCTCAACTATTGGATCACTACGACAAGGTCCTAAATGCACTAGAAGACAAAAATAATGCAGATGTAATATATACAGACTTTGCAAAAGCCTTCGACAAGTGTGACCATGGCGTAATAGCACACAAAATGCGTGCTAAAGGAACAACGGGAAAAGTCAGTCGATGGATCTATAATTTCCTCACTAACAGAACACAGAGTAGTAGTAGCCAACAGAGTAAAGTCCAAGGCAGCTACAGTGAAAAACTCTGTTCCACAAGGCACAGTACTTGCTCCCATCTTGTTCCTCATCCTCATATCTGACATAGACAAGGATGTCAGCCACAGCACTGTGTCTTCCTTTGCAGATGACACCCGAATCTGCATGACAGTGTCTTCCATTGCAGACACTGCAAGGCTCCAGGCGGACATCAACCAAATCTTTCAGTGAGCTGCAGAAAACAATATGAAGTTTAACGATGAGAAATTTCAATTACTCAGATATGGCAAACACAAGGAAATTAAATCTTCATCAGAGTACAAAACAAATTCTGGCCACAAAATAGAGCGAAACACCAATGTCAAAGACCTGGGAGTGATCATGTCGGAGGATCTCACCTTCAAGGACCATAACATTGTATCAATCGCATCTGCTAGAAAAATGACAGGATGGATAATGAGAACCTTCAAAACTAGGGATGCCAAGCCCATGATGACACTCTTCAGGTCACTTGTTCTATCTAGGCTGGAATATTGCTGCACACTAACAGCACCTTTCAAGGCAGGTGAAATTGCTGACCTAGAAAATGTACAGAGAACCTTCACGGCACGCATAACGGAGATAAAACACCTCAATTACTGGGAGCGCTTGAGGTTCCTGAACCTGTATTCCCTGGAATGCAGGCGGGAGAGATACATGATTATATACACCTGGAAAATCCAAGAGGGACTAGTACCGAACTTACACACGAAAATCACTAACTACGAAAGCAAAAGACTTGGCAGATGATGCAACATCCCCCCAATGAAAAGCAGGGGTGTCACTAGCACGTTAAGAGACCATACAATAAGTGTCAGGAGCCCGAGACTGTTCAACTGCCTCCCAGCATACATAAGGGGGATTACCAACAGACCCCTGGCAGTCTTCAAGCTGGCACTGGACAAGCACCTAAAGTCGGTTCCTGACCAGCCGGGCTGTGGCTCGTACGTTGGTTTGCGTGCAGCCAACAGTAACAGCCTGGTTGATCAGGCTCTGATCCACCAGGAGGCCTGGTCACAGACCGGGCCACGGGGGCGTTGACCCCCGGAACTCTCTCCAGGTAAGGGGGAAGCGCTAAACCCGTAGGATTATACAGCACCTGTGGGAGAAGATGTGGAAGGTATTCACGCTTAATTCGGGGAACTGGAGCACAGATCCAATTCCCTAGAACAAGAACCCCTCACCAGTGTCAAGGAACCTTCCCTGAGGGGTAAGCAATGCATAAACTTCACCTACACCACCAACTGCACTACATAACTCCATAAGTATGCTATTAAATTTTCATTTTTGGTGTCAAAACCTTAAGGAAAAGTTTCTCTACCATTTTAGAAGATAAATTTCTCATGGAGGAAAAAATCGAGACACCGACAGCACATTTGATTTCAGAGTCAGAACAGTGAGAGACTTAAGGAGTTTCAGTTCTTAATGTTGATATTTTGCCTCTTGGCCTAACTTAATGATGACTTACATGCTGTATATACAGTGGACCCTCGAGTTTTGGCAGCCTCAACTTTCGTGAAATTCGACCTTCGGAGAGTTTTTTTTGGAAAAATTTGGCCTTGAGTTTTGTGAAAAAACTCGTGTTTCGGCAACTGTCTGGTACCCGTCCACCCGTCACCACGCACACAAAGCCAGTCTCCCACGCCATTCACGCTCGGTGTGCTATTGTTTACCAACACGTGACCATCACCCCGCGGGTTCATACGTAATAATCCATTGTTTTTTGTGATTACAACTGCTAAATAAGTCACCATGAGCCCAAGGAAAGCTAGTGCAAGCCCTTTGGTAAAGAGAGTGAGGAACACGATCGAATTCAAGAAGGAAATCATTGAAAAATATGAGAGTGGAGTGCATGTTACAGAGCTTGCCAGGATGTATGGCAAGCTCTGTAACAACCATCACTTCGATCGTGGCAAAAGGAAAGGAGATAAAGTGTGCTGTTGTTGCAAAAGGGGTGGATATGCTGACAAAAAGGAGATCACAAATCCTCGAAGAAGTGGAGAGGGTATTGTTGGTGTGGATTACTGAAAAACAGTTAGCAGGAGATAGTGTTACGTAGTCAATAATATGTGAAAAGGCAAGGCAGTTGCATGACGATCTCGTAAAGAACATGCCTGCAACAAGTGGTGATGCTTGTGATTTTAAGGCCAGCAAAGGTTGGTTTGAGAGATTTAAGAAGCGTAGTGGCATTCACAGTGTGATAAGGCATGGTGAGGCTGCCAGTTCTGACAAAAAAGCAGCCGAGAAGTTTGTACAGGAGTTTAAGGAGTGCATAGACACTGGAGAATTCAAACCCCAGCAAGTGTTTAATTGTGATGAAACAGGCCTCTTCTGGAAGAAAATGCCAAAGAGGACCTACATCATGCAGGAGGAAGCGACACTCCCAGGACACAAGCCTATGAAAGACAGGCTTACTCTCATGTTTTGTAGTAATGCTTGTGGGGATTTTAAAGTGAAGCCTTTACTGGTGTATCACTCTGAAAATCCCAGAGTGTTCAAGAAATACAGTGTCGCCAAGAGTAATTTGTGTGTGATGTGGAAGGCTAACAATAAGGCATGGGTCATAAGGGGAATTTTCCTAGACTGGTTTAATGAAGTGTTTGGCCCCAGTGTGAAGAAATACCTCCTGGAAAATAAATTGCCACTCAAATGCCTCCTGGTAATGGACAATGCTCCTGCTCATCCTCCAGACTTGGAAGAGCAAATAGTGGAGGAGTTTAGTTTCATCACAGTGAAGTTCTTGCCCCCTAATACAACTCCTCTCATCCAGCCCATGGACCAACAGGTCATTTCAAACTTCAAAAAACTCTACACCAAAGCAGTGTTTCAGAAGTGCTTTGAAGTAACCTCAGACACTGAATTGACCCTAAGAGAGTTCTGGAAAGATCACTTCAATATCCTCCATTGCATAAACCTTTTAGGTAAGTCTTGGGAGGGGATGACTTCCAGGACTTTGAACTCTGCTTGGAGAAATTTGTGGCCAGATTGTGTACAAGAGAGGGATTTTGAAGGGTTTGTGGCTGACCCTAAGGAGACCTATGCCAGTTGTGGAAACTATTGTGGCATTGGGGATGTCCCTGGGGTTGGAGGTGAGTGGTGAGGATGTGGAAGAGTTGGTGGAGGACCAGAGGGAAGAACTAACCAATGAAGAGCTGCAAGAGCTTCATCTGCAACAGCAAGAGATCACAGCTCAGGAAATTGCTGCAGAGGAGGAAGAGAGATGGAGATTAAGGACATTTGTGGAAAGTGGACTTAAGTGCAAACATTTATGGATGAACTTCACCCTGACAAAGCTGTTGCAGGCCATATTGGCA